TCACTCATCGTTTAACTCTTTTTACTTTTCTTTTCTTCTTCTTCATCATCGAAAAAAAAGAAAATTATAATTAAACCTTTTTTTTAAAAAAAAATTTGATTGATTACATTTTTTTTTTTTTTGCTTCGTAAAAGAAGAATAAAATTATTTTTAAAAAATTGTAGAGAGAGGGAGAGGGAAAATGAAAAGGGAGAAGAAGAAAAAGAGAAAAAAATTGAAAAAAATTCTCGGATGAAAAATCTGAGACAGTAAAAAGGTGTAATGAAGAGAAAGAAATATCAAAAAGGAAGAACACATTTATGAGAAGAAATAAAAAAAAAAAAAAACGAAGGTCTAAGCAGCAATAAAAAATGAAATAAAAATGAAACGATCTTTGAATGTCAAAAAAAAAAATAAAGTAGATATTACACACTGGAAAAAAAAAAAAAAATGAGGCAAAGAGGGGGGCGGAGGGGGGCGGGGAAGGAAACAGAAAAAAATTTCTAGAAAAAAAAGAAAAATATGAGCAAAAAAAAAAAAATTATTGATTTCTTTCAATCAAAAAAAAAAAATTTTATATATATGTATATTTATTTTCTCCCTCCCCCCTTCTTTCTCTCTCTCTTTGTCTGTCTGTCTCTTCTTCCACGGTAAACAATTTATAGTCTATAATAATAATAATAATAGTCGTTTGTTCGTTTTTTTTTTTCATTTATTCGACTCGTAAACAGTGGTAAAATATATATATTTCAACCGAGCAAATAATTAACGTAGAGGTCATAGTTCAACCCAACATAATATAACCTTTCGCACGTTTAAATTCAAATGGGCGGAATTTTTGTTATTTAACATTTATCATTGTCAATGTGTTTTTTTTTTTTTTTTTTTTTTTTTTTCTACGGGAAACATGTTTCATAGTGCGTGACAATATTTTGACCTGGGAAAAAAGTCACACACGCACACGCACGCACACTCTCACAAAATTTTTCAAACTCGTCACATTTTCCATATGTGTGTCGATTTAAATTTCAATTATTCATTATTATTATTATTATTATCGTCATACAATAAATAATCAATTTGAAGTAAATAAATATAATTTTTTTTTTTCGAATGAACGTTATTACAAAAAAAAAAGAAAAAATCAATTCAATTTACAAAAAAAGACGGAAATTTAAAAGGAAATAATTAATGTTTAACTTATGAAATTTAAAAAAAAAACGTGGAATTAAAAAAAAAAGAAAATAAACACGGAAATGTTTGTGTTTGTTTGTTTGTTTGCACTACCTGAAACATTCGGAAAAATTTTTTTTTAATGTCAAGTAATAAAATAAAGTAGACTAAATAGCAGAAGATAATCATATTATTATTATTAAACTCTTGCACGCATTCGCATAAAAACTCGGTGAATAATTTTCATGTTTTTTTTTTTTTTTTTTTTTTTTTTTTTTTAAACCGAAAGAATTTTAATTTTTTAATTTTTTTTTTTAAATAATAAATTTTTCGAATCGATTTTTTGTTTTACCCCCCCCCCCCCCGTTTATATTTATCTCCCCCCGAAATTTCATTTGGAAAAACCGCGCACGCACGCACAAAATTAAATTATCCAAACGATTTTTCGTCGTCATTAAACGTAAATAAAAAAAAAATAAAAAATTTTTTTTTAATTAAACAATTTGCGACTTGATATTGTTATTGTTATTGTTGTTTGTTGTTTGCTTTCGTTTTGGTTTTTTATCGTCGTTTGTTTTTCCAAACAGTATTTAAACTTCTTTAACAACAAACGAATGATAATGAGAGGGAAAAAAGAAAAAAATCCGAGATATTTTTCTATTTCTCCCGCTATGATTTCATTTCATTTTTTTTACCGCTATGATTTATCATTATTATTATTATTATTCGGCAGACGAAAAAAAAATAAATAAATAAATAAAATTTCCGTTAGAAAATTTATTTCCGGTTTAAAATTTTGTAATTAAAAAAAAAAAAAAATGAAATTTTTATCATTCGACGATAATTAGGTAATTCATCGACCGAATAATAAAACGATTTTTTTTTTAAAATGACTTTAATTGTTTTTTTTCCTTTTCTTTTCCGGTTTTTCTTTTGGTATTAAATAAAAACTAATAATAATAATAATAATAATAATAATAGTAATGTTACGAAACGTAAAGGTTAAGTAGTGGAAGGAAGAGAGGTAGAATAAGAAAAAGACAAAAAAAAAAATCCACATCGACGACTACGAAGACGACGACGACGACGACGACGACGACGTGATTTCTACGCCAAAAATTTTCATAAAAGGGGGAATAATTACAACAACAAAGTTGAACTAATTTTAAACGATTTAATTTCACTTCGTTTACAGATTTGTCAAGAGAAATAATCCCATATTACGCAACAAAAATAGAATACGGAAAAACGAGAGGGGATACGAATTAAAACAAATTTACCGTATATACTTAACTAATCCGTTAAAAATCTTTTACAACAAAGGTTTTAAAAATTTTTGACGTGATTTTAAGTTAAAATTTTACCAGGTTAACCCTTTTTTTTTTAAACCCCTTTTCTGCTTCCCCGAACAACCCCCCTCTCTCTCTCTTTTTTTTTTTTCCGAAGGGATTTCGATGACCGTCGAACGAAATCATTAACAATTTTATGTGTTTGTATATATATATATACATAAACGTACAAAAATAATATTATAAAAAGACCTTTCTCACATATGAATTTTAATGAATGTTATGGTTTTTTTATAGTGCGACGAATGAATAAAAATAAAAAATCGTTAAAAAATTTTTTATATTGGAAAATTTTTTGTTTGTTAATTAATTGATTGATTAAAAAAAAAAAAAAAAAATCGAAAATTTTTTCGTGTTGATGATAAGAATGGGAAAAATTCAAAGGAAATTGATTGTTTAAAAATTTTTTTTTTCTTAAGATAATAAAAATTTTCCAGGGTTTTCCTAGAATTTTGGATACAGGTGTTCTGGACTTTCACCCTCTCGGGAATAAAAAAAAAAAAAAAAACATATAAAACCGTATTAGATTTTGAGAAAGCAATTTGAATAAACCGTGTCGACGACAAAACGTGAGCGAAAAAAAAATTTGATTTCCCACCGTCTCCATTCTCAAATTTTTCCACCTTTTAATCTTTTACATTTCGCCTTCCTTTTTTTCTCGACGAAAAAGGCAAAAAAAAAAAAAAGAAATTAAGTTTTAAATATTATAGTCATTCATTCATTCATTCATTCATTCAATCATTCACTCAATTCTTTCGTTTTCGGTAGCAACACAAATTTTTTTTTTTAAATAAATAATTTCATATTTTATCGTTTTGTGGTTTTTCACGTTTATCGCATCCTATTGATTTTTTTTTACTACCGAACGTGGTTAAAAAAAAAAAAATTTTTTTAATTTTCCGACGGAAAATTCACGCATCATTTTTTCCCAAACATTTAATTTATTTTTATTTTTAATCAAAAAACAAAACAAACAAACAAACGACGAATTTTTGAAGTAAAAAAAAAATTAATAACTTTTTTTTTTGCGGTGCTCAATTAATGATAATAATAATAAAAGAAAAAAAGAAAATCTCGTGAAGCAAAGCGTTTTTTTTCCTTTTCGTGACAAGATTGCATAACATGCACATTGCTATGAAATAATAATAATAATAAATTTTATTTTTACCTGAATTTTTATTTTTTATTTGAGGAGTCGTGAGGGTAGGTTCAGTCACGTTAATAACAGAACTTAAATCAGAATTCGGTTGAGGTGAATAAGCCGCTGATTCTCTAAAAAAATCATCAATGCTTTCATATCCGTCAAATTCATCATAATCATTATTATCTCTGCTTCCGGAAAGTATCGCTTCATCTTCTAACGGTGGTTCTTCGTATCTTTCTTTAAGAACTTTTCTCGGTACTGAAAAAATATAAAACGTGAGAGCGTATCAATTGAAAATCAAACCGGAAATTCAATTTTTCATTTTCTTTTCCACGTGTATACGAACGAAAAACCGTATACGACGCGGTGATGCCAACGTAACGGAATTTTAAAAAAATTTCTTTTCTTTATTTTATTAGATTTCCCTCTCCCCCATTTTTCCTTTTCTTTCTAAAAAAGAAACTTTAGTTGGGAAAAATATTTTTAAAAAAATTTTTTATCATCTAAACAACAAAAAACCATTTTCATTCTTCTTCCTCCTCCTCCCCTCCTTTTTTTTTTTTTTAAAACTCAAAATGGTCCATGACAGTTTAATCCGAGACTAATCTTCGCTTGAGGAAAATTAGTTTTCTTAAAATTTTCTTTTTTTTTTTTTTATAAAGTTATTTTCATTCAACATAATAAAAAATTTGTTGCTTTTAAACGAAGTACAAGAAAAGATTTTCTCGTGTCTAATGTTACGTTCGTTTAAATGTTTAATTTTTTTTTTTTTCTACTTTTTATTTCTTCTTCTTTAACATAATTTTTTTAAAAATATATATACGAATGAATGAATGAATGAAAAGATTTTTATGGTTATAGTTCAGCCTTTTTCAAGTTAAATATCGTAAAGTGTAAAAAAAAAAAAAATTATTTTCATTATTGTCATCGTTAATTTTCCTTTTTTCCTACTTACGTACGTGTATATTTCCGTCGGTTTTATATTCCGTGATAATATTTTAAATAAAAACCCATTAACAACATTTGATTAAAAATAAAAAAGTAGAAGACAAAAACAATAATAATAATAATAGTGGGAAAAAAAAAAACAAAAATTTAATTAATAATAAATTTTTTTTAAAATTACGTTTATCTAATATAACTTTTCTAGAGGTTTTAACTTTTGGAAAATTAAAAACTCTCCTTCTCCTTCCCCCTTCCCCCCGCCCCCCTTAAAAAAATATTATGATGGAATATGTACTTACCACATGTATAAACGACCTTAAGGTACATTCTAGAAGCAGGACGGCAAGGATTACCAAAAGTTGATATATCAGCGCTTATGGTACAACTTCTTTTACCGTGACAAATCTGCATAACGGTTTCGGTGGCATAACTAACAAGGCACGCTGTAAATTTAAAAGAAAAAAAAATTATTATTAATATTATTTATTATAACAATAAACGCTCTCGAATAATAATAATAATAACCGTCGTTTGTTTATTTATTCTATGAAAAAAAAAAGTGAAAAAAAAAATTAGTTTGACGTGTTGTCGTAATCACAAACGTAATAAACGTTTATTATTACATAACGGAAATAAAGTTTCATTTAAAAAAAAAAAGAGTCAAATTAGTAACTTTTTATTTTTACTTTTTTTAAACAAAAGAGTCAAGTTAGTAACTTTTTATTTTTTTTTTAAACTTAAAAAACATTCACGTAAAACCAAACACATGACACACACAAAACGTTTTTATTTTATTTTTTTTTTGTAACATTACGCCACGTAATTTTTTTCATATCCTTATTAAATCTTTTTATATTCCTTTCATTATTATTATTATTATTTACGTAAAACAAGGATCCGTAAGAAAATTTCAC